AATTAACCCCCCAAAACCCCCAACCTCCCCTCCTTTCAAAAAAAACACAAAAACCCCAGCAACTGGAATGCTGACGCGTGGATGCATTTTGGTCCCAGTTGGTGCCACCAACCGGGACCAAAGGCCTCCTGACTGGGGTGGGCGCACAGAGCCACGTGGAGGCACATTGGTCCCGGTTCTAGATTGAACCGGGACTAATGGGTGGAGGTATTAGTAACGACCCATTAGTCCCGGTTCATGAACCGGGACTAAAGGCCCTTACGAACCGGGACTAATGGGTGGTTTTCTACTAGCACCACCTTTAGCTAACTATTTAAATTTATCAGCATCAGTATTTCATTTCATGCCTATTTTACCAGTATTTGAAATTTTACCTATTTTAGTGCTGTAGTGGTCACAGTGGTGTAGTTTGCATATATTTGGCACTCCATTAGCGACTTGTCACACGTTTATGGACCTTTCAAGTTTGCTCAGACCTGAGTAATACATTACTGCGATACTATAGGCCTTTGATACAGTGAATGTTTTAGGAAGCCATGGCTGTGAATGATGAAGGTGCTCATGACGTAATTGTAGGAAAAGCCACATTAAGTTTACTTTAATGTGTAAGAAATAACATGCTTTGGACTGTGCAGCCGAAGGAACAAACCAAGCTGGCAAAAAAAAAAGGAATATTAGAACCAATAGATTGTCAATTTAGAAAATCCACTCAGTCATGTTCGCCACCCTTAGACATGTGCCTGACTATCCAGTGGCGCAAGGAGGACTTTTTCCTCTCATGTAAGAGGTTTCTTTTTGAATTCAGACTAGTCACCGAATTTACGGATTCTATCCTAGGTGGATTAGGTTGGTTTTGGATGCCGTAATCTGTGTTAGCAGTAATCTTGATATTATTGTATCAGCATTTTAGTTTGCTTTCGTTATGTAGCATAGTTTAGAGAGTAGCTAGTCCAGCAAACTTTCAGCGAAGATGCGCAGAGGAGGCGAGATGCCGGGTGCCGTGCGATGCGGCGAGCGCGACGAGGTGCCGACTGTGCCATGTGATGCGGTGATGCCATGAGAGTCGGCAAGACGCGACAAGGCTGGAGCATGATGGGTTGGTTCAGGTTGAGTCGGATGACACGGCAAGGTCGTGTGATACGGCAAGCGCGTGGAAGGGTTGAAGCAAGACCGGCTGGATGGATCAGTACGTTGGAGCCAAGAGAATTGGTGTGTTTGTGAGGATGTTAGCTGCATGCGTGGAGTAGTTATCTAGTAGTCAGCTGCATGCACGTACTAGTCTTTGGACCCTAGAGAGATTGTAGGAGAAGATAAGATCATGGGTTAGTGCATGTAGTTAGTTGGTTAGTGGAGCAACTAGTCTGAAGACGTGGTGGCCAGGTGTGATGGCCGGCCTGAGTACGTGGGACTTGGCTGAGTGCCAAACTTTGTATAAATAGTCATCTCATTCAGTAATGGAGAAGGCCGTGAGGGCTGGCAGATGAAACAATGTAGTGTATGTGTGTCTCACCGGCCGGGAGTAGAAAGCAAAGCTAGTGTCTCCACGGTGAGTTGTGTGTGTGTGTTCCTCCGTGTGTGTGCGTTTTGTTCTCTTGATAGATAGAGAGAGAAGGAGAGTTGTGTGAGGCAGCTCAAGGTAGAAGAAGAAGTGGCGCTGCGAGGTGAGGCGGCGCCAACAATTGGCATCAGAGCCTTGTTGATCCGTGGCGGCGACGGTGGTGCTGGCGGCTATGGTGGCTGGCGTGGCGGTGGCGCCGACTACGCGGCGGACTCCATGTGAGGTGGAGGACGTCGGCACGAGGTGGGTGGCCGTCGGCGGCGTGATGCTGCCGGTGGCCGGTTGCGGTGTGATGCCGCTAGATGATGGCGGTGCGAAGCTGCCACAAGACGACGGTGTGACGCCGTTGGGAGGTACGAAGGCGCGAGGCCGTTATGAGGAGAAGATGGCGTGGCGATCGGCGCCGTGAAGGCGTCGTCCACGTGAAGACATGGCCGCTGCATGCGGCAGGAGGTCGTGGTGCCGCGACAGCGTCGTCCACGGCAAGACAGCGCAAGGTGGGCTCCGTTGGCGGCACAATGGTGTTGATGGCTAGTTGCGGTGCGATGCCGCAACATGATGATTGTGTGGTGATCGGCGTCGCGAGGACGTCATCCATGATAAGATGGTCCATGGTGACCGGCGCTGCGACGGCGTCGGTGGCGGCGAGTGGCCGGCTACAGCGCTGCGATGGCGTCGTCAAGTGGCTGCGGGTGATCCGCGTCGAAGAGTATGATATCAAGATTAGGGGGTGAATGTTAGCAGTAATCTTGATATTATTGTATCAGCATTTTAGTTTGCTTTCGTTATGTAGCATAGTTTAGAGAGTAGCTAGTCCAGCAAACTTTCAGCGAAGATGCGCAGAGGAGGCGAGATGCCGGGTGCCGTGCGATGCGGCGAGCGCGACGAGGTGCCGACTGTGCCATGTGATGCGGTGATGCCATGAGAGTCGGCAAGACGCGACAAGGCTGGAGCATGATGGGTTGGTTCAGGTTGAGTCGGATGACACGGCAAGGTCGTGTGATACGGCAAGCGCGTGGAAGGGTTGAAGCAAGACCGGCTGGATGGATCAGTACGTTGGAGCCAAGAGAATTGGTGCGTTTGTGAGGATGTTAGCTGCATGCGTGGAGTAGTTATCTAGTAGTCAGCTGCATGCACGTACTACTCTTTGGACCCTAGAGAGATTGTAGGAGAAGATAAGATCATGGGTTAGTGCATGTAGTTAGTTGGTTAGTGGAGCAACTAGTCTGGAGACGTGGTGGCCAGGTGTGATGGCCGGCGTGAGTACCTGGGACTTGGCTGAGTGCCAAACTTTGTATAAATAGTCATCTCATTCAGTAATGGAGAAGGCCGTGAGGGCTAGCAGATGAAACAATGTAGTGTATGTGTGTCTCACCGGGAGTAGAAAGCAAAGCTAATGTCTCCACGGTGAGTTGTGTGTGTGTGTTCCTCCGTGTGTGTGCGTTTTGTTCTCTTGATAGATAGAGAGAGAAGGAGAGTTGTGTGAGGCAGCTCAAGGTAGAAGAAGAAGTGGCGCTGCGAGGTGAGGCGGCGCCAACAATCTGTATAATGAGGCATCAGCTACTGAATGGAGCATACAAGAAGTTATAGTTAATTTCTCTTCGTCTGCTCTCTTCTGTGCCCTGGACACCGCCGCCGTCCCCATTGCCCCAATCCACGGGTCACTACATGCATAGATGTTCTTCTTTTCAATTAGAAATAACAACCATGTTTCTTGTAACTATGTTCATAGTAGTATGATAATAAAAATGGGACTGTTTGCTCCATAAAGTTGCAGCTTTGTATTCCTGGAAAATACGATTCAGTATTAGTGTTGTGATGATTCATCCGAAAAAGGGTCGACCAGGAAGCGTACACAAAACGCAGAAGAGAAAAACAAGAGCCTGCGGGCAGATTAGAAAAATAGAAAGAAAAAACAGAGAAGAAGTAAACGGTGCAACACAAAAGTACATCGTCATCTCTAGAGAGAAAAGCCGACGCCGCCACTTCTCCCATAATAATGGCAGGCGTACCTGCAGGAAAAAACAACCTGTACTAAAAAAACATGTCAATTGTGCATATTATTAGACCGTGAAAATACTTGTCTGCATCTCGTTTTTTTTAAATCATTCTTGTAGGTTTCATTTAATCAGATGATGTAACGTATTCAATGTTATACATTGTGTTGATGCTTCTTGCCTACCTCTTGTTTATTTCAGATGTTGATGAATGTCATGAACCAAACATTTGTAAGGGAATCTGCCATAATACAGAAGGAAGCTTCAATTGTACTAGTTGTCCTCGGAAAACTGAATATGATGCAGGAAAAATGAGGTGTACTACAACGAAACAACAGACTCTGATTTTAGGTAAGAGTGTTGTTATATTTATGAAGTATGGAAGACGAGGTAGAAGAGAAGAGACTTAAAAAGCTTAGTGCCTGCAGGTATTATTATTGGGTTGTCTTGTGGCTTCAGCATTCTATTTTTGAGCTTTACTACACTATTTCTCGTGAGAAGACAGAAAACATATGTTAAAAAACAAATACGGAAGAAATGTTTCAGGAAGAACCAAGGTCTTCTTCTTGAAATGTTGATGTCATCAGATGGAACTACTGAAAATGACAAATCAAGGATTTTCTTGTTAGAAGAACTAGAAAAAGCGACAAACAACTTTGATCCTACATGTGTCATCGGACGTGGGGGCCATGGCATTGTTTACAAAGGCATATTATCTGATCAACGCGTCGTTGCAATAAAAAAGGCTATGGTCATTGAGCAGTGTGAGATTAGTCAATTCATCAATGAGGTCGCAATCCTCACTCAGATAAATCACAGAAATATTGTAAAGCTCTTTGGATGTTGTCTTGAAACTGAGGTCCCATTGTTGGTGTATGACTATGTATCCAGTGGCTCACTGTCTCAAGTTCTTCATGCTGATTCAAGTGATGGTTTTTCTCTGTCTTGGGGTGACTACTTAAGGATTGCCCTGGAGACAGCTAGAGCTCTATCTTATCTCCACTCTTCAGCTTCAATATCAATCTTCCATCGTGATGTGAAGTCCTCAAATATTCTCCTGGACGGGAACTACACAGCTAAAGTTTCAGATTTTGTTGCTTCTAGACAGGTTCCAATTGATCAAACACACATTTTTACCAATGTACAAGGTACATTTGGGTACTTAGATCCAGAGTATTTCCATACCAGACAGCTGAACGGGAAGAGCGACGTGTACAGTTATGGTGTGCTACTAGTGGAGTTGCTTCTCAGAATGAAGCCTATTTTCACAAGTGAATCGGGCACAACCCAGAACTTGTCAAATTATTTCCTTCAGAAGTTCTTGAGGAAAAATCACAAGTATTGTTAGTTCTCAAGTCCTTGAGGAAGCAACTGAGGAAGAGATCAGGAGTGTTGCCTCTCTCGCAGAGGCGTGCTTAAGGCTACACGGTGAAGAAAGACCCACGATGAAACAAGTGGAGATGGAGATGCAGACTCTGCGAACGAAACGGGAGAGCTCATGTCAAGCAGGTCCGAGAAATGAAGGACGGACACAACCAGGATCACTAACTCGAAGAAGTTCTAAAGCTGCTCGCCAATCATCTGCTATGATATTTGGTGGGAGAATCAATTTATGGTCAGGAGACAGCCAGCAATGCTATAGCTTGGAGCAGGAGTTCATGTCATCTGCTACTATACCGCGATAGGTATGTCCAGTAAGTTTATAATAATGGACGGCTATGTCTTGAATGATTATAGGTAAGTAGTGTTGTAAATCAAGTTACGCCCAGTTAATTATGATCATCATGATTGTATAAGCTTTTGATTGTAATAATGCTGCTATATTTGTAGTTATGTAAACTACAATTCTTATCTTAGAGATGTGGATTGACTTGAACTCCTGCAGTACCACTTGCCTATTAGACAATTATTATCTTTGTGGGTGGAAGGAGGTACCATGGGCTGCAGTTTTGTTTGCTATGGCCCAAGATGGCCATAGTGAGGAACGGAGGGCGTGCCCTTCCACTGCCCAGCGGCGAGATCCACCGAGGCGTCGTCTTCTTCTGGTTCCTCCTTCCATCCACAAATTGCTTGCTCTGTTCCAGCCAGCAGTCATACCCTTCACTACCGGAACAGGGCTCGCTGCCGACGGCCGAATATATGCCGACGACCACCGTCGGCCTTCTCCAGGCTATGCCGACAGTTGACCCCGGGCCGTCGGCGTACAACAGCCGTCGAGCTATCACAGGATACGCCGACGGCCCCCGTCGGCAAAGAACAGCCATCGGCTTAGCCCGGGCTACACCTATAGCTACCGTCAGCATAACTGCGGGCCCGGCGACTACGCACGCGACGGGCGGCTAACGGCATCGGATCTATGCCGACAATGGTGATGGGCGGCCGTCGGCATAGATATGGGTGCCACGTCATCGATCCAAAGCGTACCGACCAAGGCTATGCCGACGGCTGTCATTGGCATAGATGACATGTCGTCGATCCGCGGTGCGCCGTCCGTAGTCGTCGGCATGCCTATATTTTTTTGCATTTTTTTGCATAGGTATATTTTTATGTTTTTTTACGTATTATTTGACTAACTAAAATGTAGCATGTGTTAATATGAGCATACATACAT